GTCTGGTTTTTTTTACCCGTTTTACATAAGGTCAATGGGATTCGTTAGCACATCTGCCAGCGTAATATGAAAAAAGATTGTCTTCGTCCAAGCGCTTTTAGCAGTGATATATCAATGATCCTCTCGGAACCTTGGGATCTACCTCCTCGGCCTATCTAATCTTAGCAAAGCGCCGCATTGAATGTATTGTTGTTGTTATTTTCTTACTTATAGAACATAATATACGTGCATACATAACAACATAGGAAGTGGTAAAGATGACATTTTAGGCACTTTATTGATCCATTTTCACAGTGCGGATCCCAGAACTTTCAGCATTTGATTGTCTTATCATCTTCTTCTTGAACCTCGTATAACACTGGCTGAGCACGTCTCATTGCAATCTTTGCACGTCAGTACCGCGTTCTCATTTTTCGCCTCTCAACTGTTCTCACATGAACTCATTCTACTTCAACATCTCTGTTGTTTATTATGGAGATGCAATAGTGACCCGTCTGGACCTGGTGTAATATCGGCCAATTACTAGTCGGTGTGACATCTTAATTTAAATTGTTGTTAACATATTTCCACCTTCCCATTTGACAATATTGTTTTCTTTTGTCTGCTACAGTGTAGTGAGAGACTTTTCGAAAACAACCAAAGTGTTAAAATTATCGAAGCTCACGCTACCGCATGATAAGTTATAATCCAAGCGAAAACGTCTGTATTACGAAAAATACGCGTGTGAGAAGCACAAATCTATTTTTTCTATTATGGCTCAAAAAAAACCTCTCAAAAGCCAGTAACATTTTCGATTTTGCCAAAATTCAAGCTATCGAATGATTACCAGCAGTATAATGAAAGAGTTCGTCCTGCAAAAAATACGAGCTATGACGGCCAAAAACGAAAACGGTGTCTCATGCGAAATGCTGTTGTTTTGAATGCTGAAGTACTGTAATAAAACTTTTCAAGAAATAAATGTTTTATGAATTTTGCAAAATTTAAGTTTTCGAAGGGTCACTCTAAGTTCAATGGAAAGTCTTTGTCCAGCAAAAATCCTTTCTTCTAACATTTATACCGGGCTACAGAAAAGAATCCATTTCCATTTTTTTTTATGGCGGTTAACCGTTTTTTTCCAATTTCATCTCTGCTAGCCTTTTCAATGATGAATACCATGGAATTCTTTCTGAAAACATAATTTTTTCCTTATTTCCAGAAATTGACTTCTGAATACTTGAGCGCATAGAAATAAAGAATCACAATCACGATGTTGTTCAACTAACATTAGATTTCAAATTTGACTATTTCTCAATTGACGATAGAGCTACTTTGTCACTCAAATCCGTGAAGTGCTTTCGCAGATGATCCTATCTCAGTACATTATTCTAAATCTCATGCTGTTTTCATTATCTCAAATATTCTCTAATTACTTTCATAATGACTCGTTGTAGTAAAACGATGGCTGCTTTGTGCTAACTATGAGCGTAGAAAAGTTATTTCGGCGATTCAAATTGCAAAATTTTCATTTGTTTCTCAAGAAGCACACCAAAAATTTATTCCACTGTACACTTCAATGTAACTTACTGCATTACTCTGACTAATAAACATCCATGTGGCTTGCCAGTTTATTGTTGCTGCAATTCCACAACAAATATCGGTGAAGATTTGTTTGTCTCAATCAAGAAGTTCAAATTCAGTTTCCGACAGTGGCTGATGCCGAGAAGAAGTGCGCTCCAAATGGACCCAATTTCAGCATTCGAAGAGCTCTGTTCACTACATTTTGCCACATTCTATTTGACCAATTCGCCATAATGAAATTTGTGGTCTAAACAAGCACTTCTGTTAACAGAACGAAGTTGTACGAGAGGAGAGAAAGTAATTCAAACCATGAGAGATCCTGAGATTGACAAGTGTTCAGAAGGAATAGGTGCTGTCATGCCGGCCATACAACCCATCATGTTATTTTCCGCTTTAGTGCAAATTCCTATCACAGTACTTCCGATAATGATGCAGTTCTGAGGCTTCTTATCGTCAACTGTAAGAAAATCGTGAGTTCCTATAAAGACACTTTTTCTATCTCAACAAAAAACTCTAGGAAGCAGAAAGTGATTTGGAAATTCATGTTCTTTTGTACTTCAAGGCGCTTTGAATAATCTCCTGGCACATTGAAAACTCATTATTAGAAAAAGACATAGAAAACTTGTTCAAAAATGTCGTCGATCCAAATGGTTTGAACTTTGGTACCATTGTGACACTATCCAACGCTCTAGGTCATTTTTTAGGAATTTTCTGTGTAATTATTCGCTTTTTTTCTAAATAATTGATTAATCTTGCCTTTCAATTCTTTCTATAATTCTACCTAAAAATTTCAAATATCTTGTATTAGATACCCACTCATAGTCTTGTCTGATAGACCGAAAAGAACTTCCTGGCAGAACATTGGTACGTATGTAATGTTAATAGTAAGTTGACCCAAAATGCCTGATATTACAGCATCAGGTAGGAGTGCACTACGACCTTGACGCTCGAGAACGTCGAGGACCTGAAGAATAATTTTTTACTAGTCTAAAGATTTGACTTGGAATTGTTTTCTGTGAAGCTATAGGAGTCATTTCAGCATTATGAAGTTGGCGCATCGTCAAAAAATCTTGTAGTTGAGCCTCTACGCCTATTCAGATCCCACGAAAAAAAATTCTAGCTGTTTGAACTCTAAGAGTTGGGCTCACCGTTTGCATAACAAGGCGTTGTATAAATCCCTGAACACTCGCGTTGCTAGTTCCAATATCGGGGACCCGAGCAGGAACTGTAGGTCCCCCGTGAACCATGTTAACCGGCAAAGTTGTTAAGCCAGTAACCATAAAGCTTCTGGTGCTTGCTGTAATGAAATTTCACAATTTTTGCGGTGGTCACTCAAAAATTAAATCATGCTAATTAACTAACATTTTAAAGCCTTTTTCCTTACTTGAAATTCAAAGTCCTTTCATGAAAAAGGTTCCGATTCCGATAGCGTGCAAAAACTGATGAAAATATTGATTTTGAAGAGAGGGTAAACTTTCATGTTATATTTTAAAAATTGTACTATAACAGTCTTCAATTTAGTACCTTGACCTGCTGGTAAAACTCCACATCCCAACACTGTCGAGACTGTCGCTAGCACCGAAGTCATGAAGAAGTCGGTCGGAAGTGTCATTATGTTTGTAAGTTTTCCTTATTGATTTTTAACTTCCAAAAATTTGAGCAAGTACTGTAACTTACGTAAAAATAATTTTGATATTTTTGCATCAGATCATTTGAAAAGCAACAACGGCTCTCGGCACTTATATTTGACTGATGTCGGCGTAAAGTTCGGTTAATTTCCACGACCTTTAGATGTTTCAAATCAGTTCAATTCAAAAGTAAAGTCTTCCAAAGCAAGTTTTGTCTCTGCTGTTGATCCGAAGTGCACGAAAATCGATGAATGAAATTATGTTCATGTTAAAATGCCTAATGGCGATAAACTGCGTGGATAAGGACACTTAAACAGAAATTACAGTGAATGCAGCAGCTCGCACGGCGCTGTTTACATTCGGTTACCGCCTTCCCATTTCTGATATTATGACGTAAATTCCAACATTCCCACAATGGGAGCAATATCAATCCATAAGATGTCGAAATTGCAACTGCGCTCTTAGAAGGAAATCTGTGAAGGCCTATAACGCTTCAAAAGTTAAGCACAAGATTTGCTACGAAAAGTTGTTGGCAACAAATTTTCTAGTGATAGGAAATTGCTTTTCTTGATATCCAGTGTTTTATTAACCTCTCACATTTGGTACGCCAATGAAATCTTTTTCGATGACAGAGAAGACAACCGATAGCCAAGTCAAGAACTTCTACAGACTTCTTGAGGGATTTAGAGACATGAAGAAAATAAGATAGCTTCACTATCCACCAAAATGAGAGAAAAATTTGAAACTGTGCCGAAGTGATGGTTGAAGAAGCTATTCATGGAGGCGTCAATGCTATTTGAGGTACAATAATCCTGCGCTTCATACGATTAGCAGTGTATCAAGATGAAAAATACAGTGAATGTTATAAACCCAGTAATATAGAGTGCTGTGCAATAACATTTAAGTCAGCCGGGATTCGAAACCAGATCTCACTCTTTCTGTGAGCACGTGCTGAACCTTTACACTACCGACTCTCGTTATGCACAACACTCTTTCTATGCTAGTGAATGTTGCCAAAAACGTTAATAAAGAGACAATGAGCAAGCGGCTTTCTTGATCGCCTTTTAAAAGGGTTCCAAGTTCAATGCAGGGCTGAATGTGGGGCGGGGGTCACTGACGAGGAGGACGTACCTCCGAAACACCGGTGTATGACCCTGGCGTAACAACCTCGTTTTTGAGCTTAAATCATTCTTTTTTGGAATTATATTGAATGTTTTTTGCGGGGTTTCAAAAACAGTCGATCTTTTGATTTAGTTTTGATCTAACAGCAAAAAATCCATCGACTGAGGGGTGGTGATGGACCAGTGTCATTGTACACTGTTCCATCACCACATACGCCTCCCTCCTTGCTTCAATGCAGGGCTGAATGTGGGGCGGGGGTCACTGACGAGGAGGACGTACCTCCGAAACACCGGTGTATGACCCTGGCGTAACAACCTCGTTTTTGAGCTTAAATCACTCTTTTTTGGAATTATACTGAATGTTTTTCGCGGGGTTTCAAAAACAGTCGATCTTTTGATTTAGTTTTGATCTAACAGCAAAAAATCCATCGACTGAGGGGTGGTGATGGACCAGTGTCATTGTACACTGTTCCATCACCACATACGCCTCCCTCCTTGCTTCAATGCAGGGCTGAATGTGGGGCGGGGGTCACTGACGAGCGAGGAGGACGTACCTCCGAAACACCGGTGTATGACCCTGGCGTAACTACCTCGTTTTTGAGCTTAAATCATTCTTTTTTGGAATTATATTGAATGTTTTTTGCGGGGTTTCAAAAACAGTCAATCTTTTGATTTGTGTAATAGTTTTGATCTCTTCAGCGTTCTATCATATTTTTGAAGATTTTGCGAGCAGGATTATTTGAAAAATCCAAAATGCTGTTTTCTTATTATTAAAGAGCCCTTACACTCATTTCTTAGAGTTTTTAAGTGATCCGGCAAAGAACAATGTGGCACATACTCATTGATTTCCTATTCATCGGTAGGATGGGTCTCACCGAATACGATGAGCGCCACTGCGGTAATACCAGATTGATTTGCATGCAGGAAGATAAAAGCTATTTAGGAGTATAACCACTAGCCTAAATCTTCATGTAAATCGTGACTGTTTATGAAATGGTGTTCTGAGGCAGATACCGTTGCTTTTATCACAAAACAACACATTGCAGAGAGTGGCCTGGTTTCAGTTTGTGGTTCAGCTGTTTAAGTGAGCTATGGGGTGCTCAATTATAACAGTGAGCACTGATTTGTACGCCAACAGTTTAGCAATTAGACAGTACAAGAAGTTCTCCATCAGTACACAGGATTACTATTCAAAAAAGGATGCTGGGGCTTGATATTCTGGAGAGCATTTCACTCAAGGTTTCATAGGTAAGGAATCATAAATGCCTGGTAATCATTTCTTCAGCCACTCATGTCAGTGGTCTGTCAATGAGGGCTGACTTATAGAGCCCGATACACGTGTTTCGATCTTGCGATCTCTTCAGTCGGGCAGTTACCCTTTCTCGTCTTTTGCTAATCTCTGTGAGTGCTCCAATCCCACACTAAGAGTTAGCGACGACCAACGTTTTACACTCTATGTCCAGTGGAACTCACCGAACACAGAGTGTTGTGCACCCGATTGCTTTTGGCTGGTATATTCAAAATATCATGTCTTTCGATTCGAGTGTTTTCTTAAGACCACAGCTGAAAAATACAGTATGCCTCATAATCATTTCTTGAGCCACGCATGCCAGTGGTTTGTCACTGACATCAAAAGCAGTCTAGTGTACAACACTCTGTGTTCGGTGAGTTTCACGGACATAGAGTGTGAAACTTTCGTCGTCGCTAACTCTTAGTGTGGGACTGGAGCACCCACAGCGATTAGTAAAAGACGAGAAAGGGTAACTGCTCGACTGACGAGATCGCAAGATCGAAACACGTGTATTGGGCTCTATAAGTCAGCCCTCATTGACAGACCACTGACATGTGTGGCTCAAGAAATGATTATCAGGCATATTAAATCTTTGAGCTGCGGTCTTAAGAAAACACTCGGATCGAAAGAATCAAAAATGGTTCCAGAAAGCGTTCACGCCTTCATGCAAATAAAATTACTTCATTAATCAAAAAAATACAAAGTTTTTTCTCAACTAACATTTTTTAGTAAGAGACTTTCGATTCAGAATGTAAATTATTACATTTTATGCTATTCATGAAAGACAAACTGGAAACACAATGAATGCTAATGAATTATCGGCTTCTTTTGAAAATGGTGCCAAATATTGCTGAATAATCAGCTCCGCGTCGTATCAATTAAACTGCTGAGGAAGAAACAATTTCGATGTGACATTTCTCTTCCGCATTCACTTAACCAATATAGTGGAGTTGATCAGCGAATTTCATTTGATAGGAAACAAAACTTCTTTTTTTCTTATCAGTTAAAGAACTTGATGTTGATGTTGCATCCGAAAACTTCAAACAGAAAACACATTGCTGGTTTCTAATCAAAGAAACAAGACGGCAGCTCTCATAGTATTCCCGGCTTAGTCAATTGCCTTCAATCTGTTGCTTGTTGAAAGTCGACTTTCGTTCGTCGGTGGCGTACTTTATGATTATTGTCTCGGGTTATCGAAGTAGCACAAACCTATCGCAAAGAGCTATTGAGGATGTGGCATGCATTGTTTCCGTCTATATTGAACAAAGGAACGCTCTTGTGAAACAGGCGGTGATAAAAGCTTTGTCAAAATTCGATACTAGTGTAACACTTGGTCACCTTTTCGACTTTCAATCCAAATCTTCTTACGACCAAGTTAGGAGTCAAGTCTAGGTTTACATAGGGTGCAAAGCCACAACGGTGACAATATCGAGGTAGCAGTCACGATCCTGCTGCATAAAGCAAAAATAGTACGCAAAATCCTAAACATCTTTTGTTGAATCTCAGTAACTTGAAATTATTTAACTCGTCCGGGACGGCAATGGTAATTACTGTGGTCAAGATTCAGTGGTATCCGCGTTCGAACTGGCCAATCCACCAAATGCGGTGAAGGTCTTGGCTAATGTACCAAATATGACGAAGTTTCGCGGTCAATGCACCAAATGTGATGGAGGTTCGCGATAATGCACAAAATGTGCCGAAGGTTCAGTGGAGGAAGCGCCTGGATCTGTGGCTTAGTTGATCGATAGTCAAATGATCTTCGTGCTGTAGTCCTTGTGAATAGTTTGCCCTTTGAGGTTGCGAGTTGAACTTCCCGGTTATACAAAATGAATTTTGGACTTTTTGATCAATTGACTTTTTGCCACTCGTGTCTTAAGTGGACAAAAGTACTAGGAGCAGATTCTCTACTATCAAGCAACCTAAATATACATACATTATTGTAGTGATAACATAATACTATTATGTACATAATAGCAGCATATCGTTTCGCAACATGATCATGGAAATGATTATGACAACTTGATGAGGTGCATCATCGTCTGACGTTAATATGGAGGAAATGATTATGAAACACCGACATGGTCAACGATGATTTACGGGGCATGACTAGGTGATGGAGCACATATACGCTGCCATGTTTGCCCGGAAGATAAGCACGGGATTCAGTGGGTAAAAATATTGTATTGTGAATGCCAGGAGATTAGGTTGATTACATATGAGGCTAAATCTCTTAAAGGTCTTCGCAGGCTGATCATAGCTTAACTGAGTACGCTCCGCCACCAAAGTATTGAATTCCGCTAACAATTCTATCGAGGACATATGAGTCGCTACATAGTGATGAAAACGGAATCTAATGATGACGTATTGATTATACAGTGCTCATTATTGATTATACCAAACTTATCAGCCAAAGTAGTTGAATTTGCTTAACAATATTATTAAAAAATGCCCCGTCCGCCTGACCACATTTCTGCCATCTCTCGGTCAACAAATCAGTACTGTGCTCATAGAGTTCGCCATCCTCAATTCCAAACAAGGTTGTCAATCCTTTACGCGAATGATTAATATCTCGGAATATCTTGTTGAGGAAGTACTCCAGCGACTGGCAGAGGTGATAGTCAGGCGGTGACAAGTCAGGACTGTACAGCGAATGTTCTAGCAAGTACCAGCTTAGTTCGGTCAAATTCTTCTTTGTTGATTTGACAACATACAGCCTTACGTTGTCCTGAAGCAGGATGAGCTTGCAGCGATGTATCAAAGTAATTCAAGGTCTAAGTTCAAACACAGGAATGTGTCGGAAATCGTCAAAACTAGTGTAATTCGAAGAAGTTCGTAAAAATGTGTTTATTTTTCGCTTGCCTCATATATATATATATATATATATATCACGATTTACGGACTGGATGCACGTCAACGAGCTGAGACAAAAGCCTTTACTTTTCTTCGACTTTTACTTTTTTACTAGATCAACTTCTAGAGCTTACTATAAACTCGTTAATTGTGCTACCGAATAGACGTGCATACGCAGAATAGACTAAAAGCATTTTTTACACGTTTTCGTGAATAACATACGTAATGATAATTAGTTCAGCTTTCCACAAATGCTCGTGTCACGATGCAGACATTGTTGGTCTTAGGGATCACTCGGTGAATGGGACATGCGTCATCGACGAAACGGTACGCGAGATTTCAATTTTTTCATCTCTCGTCTGGGTTGTATAAATGTTGACTAAACTTTGGATTCGCAAACATCTGCTGGCGGCTCCTAGAGATAAGTGATTAGCATCTTCATAAGTCCCTGTGTGCTACTGATCCACAAGGTGGCATCAATCGCATGTTTCTTCGAGTACTCTCCATGAGTTAATCATTGAATTGACGTCTTAGAAAAGTATCGAAAGTGAAGTACGGTTTGATTTCTTCAAACATGTGGAGAGAGTTAGGTCTGTGTCCCGCAAGGGCTAACATTCTTATTAGCATTCTTTGAAATCTTGTTAAATTTGTAGCTTGCTTCTAGTTTTCTGTTCACTGAAAAGTATGAGTCGAATGCATCTCGTAATCATTC